AACCGAGCCACATCAGCCCTGGCCTCATTTTTTTAAAATACATTTTTCTTTCCACTGCTCTGATTGGGTGTTTTCTGCTACCTTGTCTTCCTAATCACTGATTCAATCCTTTGTTTCATCCAACCTACTGTTTATTCCTTCTAGTTTATTCTTCATTTCAGATATTGTATTCTCTGTTTCTGACGGTTCTTTTTCATGGTTTCTATGTCCTTTTCATGCTGTTGTAGTTCTCACTAAGTTCCTTGAACATCCTTATAACCATTTTTTAAAACTCTTTATCTGATAAATTGTTTGCCTCCGTTTCATTTAGCTCTTTTTCTGGAGATTTCTCCTATTCTTTCATTGGGGCATTTCCCTCTGTCTCCCCATTTTGGTTGCCTCTTTGTGTGTGTTTCTATGTATTAATTATATCTGCTATGACTCCCAGTCTTTGTAGGGTGGCCTTGGTTGCAGGTGTCCTATGGGAAGCAGTGATGCATTCTCTTTGATTACCTCAGCTGGGTGCATCAGGAATGTCCCTTGTGTGGGTTATGTGGGCTCTCCTGTTGCAAGTGAGTCTTGATTGCTCTTGGCATGTTCATGTGTGGGGTCGACTCTCAGGCTGGCTAACTGTAAGGCTCAACCCTGACCACAATGTACGAGCTATTCCATAGGTGCTGACCACACTAAGCGGAAATTTGCCTCAGCGGGGTTTTGTGCCTGTTAAGATCTTCCTTTAGATACGCTGCTTGTGAAGGTAATTGGATCCTACTCTGATGTTGTCTGAAGCTGGCTCCTGGGCATGTTGGTTTTGGTGCCTCTTGGTAAAGACTCTGCTGTAGGGCAATGTCAGACCCAACCTGTTTGGAGCTACAAAACCATCCACAGTTTGTGGCAGCCTCTCCTGGACCTGGATGTGTGAGGGAAGGACCAAATTGCATACCAAGGCCAGCTTTTACCAGCACCAGGCCCAGGGGATGGTCAGAAAAAGCCCCAAGACACCCCAACATGGCCTCTGCCTGCCAGATGCTTATTAGGCTCAGTCACTGAAAGGGCCTCTGGCAGTTCTCAAGTTGAATGAAGTAGGTTTTCAGTGTGTCACCAGGGGAGGCCAGTGGTGTTCACTAGATTGATATAGGTTCAAATTCAGTGCCAGTGCTGGGTCTGAGGCCACTCAGCAAATACCCCAGGCCACCTTCTGGTTGTTTGTACACCTTTTTGGTGGGGTGGGTATCTCAAGGATTCATCAGGGTGAAACTATCAGAGTTTATAAGGCCCAAACAGACCAAGATTTGGCCAGATGAAGGGAGGGTTTTGTACTGGTCAGGTGTGCAAGGGAAATATTTCCCCTGTCCTAGAGCCACACAACTCAATCTGTCCCAGATTCTGTCTGGAACCTGATCTCAGCAGGGCTTCATTACTGGTTTATTAAGTTAAAGAGGATGCAGGTGTGTGTGTGTGTGTGTGTGTGTGTGTGTGTGTAAGAGAATAAGAGTGTGCAAGAGAGATACAAATCTCAAAGTTAGATGACCTAATATGAAATGCTAAGGGTTCTAAGGGTTCAGATTTCATCCTGTACGCAACAGGGAACCATTAAAGAATTCTGAGCAGGTAATGACATATTAGGATTTTGTTGTGGGATGAGCCCTTCTGCAGCAACAGGCAGTGTGGACTGTGAGGTGTGAGGTAGCAGGTGGGAAGATGAATTGGAAAGAAAATTTAATAGGCCAGATGGTCTTAACTAAAGCAATGCCAATAGTAGTAAACAATAAGAGAACAATATAAAAGGTAAGATTTGGTTATTATTTAGAAGTGAGAGAAAGAGATACATAAAAACTACACACAACTTCCTGTTTTCTAACTTGTGGGGTCAGATAGATGGTGGTGCTTCCAAATATAAGGTGTATGCAACAGGAATGATTACGGACACTCACTCTGATGACCGCAATTTTCAGAAGAAACTAGGAGGCAGGGGTATCTTCTGAGAGAAAAGAGGAGAGTGTTTATATAAGAGAATTACAGAGAATAGTGGAAGTTTGGACAATCCACTGAGAATGGAAAAGGAAGCTGGCCAAAGAAGAGCCAAAGTTACTGAGCAGTGAACATGAATTTGTAGTGAAATCAATCTGCACAGGTGTGTAAATTTTCAGCGCCATCAATCCGTACTGCTCTATGATTTTCTTTTCTAAACAATGCTCAACTATCTAGATATGTCACTAGAAACATGAACTATTGGACCGATCTAGAGATGAAAGTTTAAATATCAGATGCAGTGGAGTATAAGAGCATGAAGGAGATGAAAGTACTATGAGAAAATAGTTTAGGGAATCAACCATAGCATCCAGAATCAATAAGGGAAGGAGACCAGGGGAGGAAACTATAGTCTTAGGGAATGAAGGTTTAAAAACAACAGGTGTCAAGAAAATTGGATTGCAGTTTTTAATGAGAATAAGAGAGATGGAAGAACAGAAGGTACTGAGATTAAATTTTCCTAAGTGGAGAAATTCTAGATCTGTGCTATCCAGTATGGAGGTCACTAGCGACATATGGCTATTTACATTAAAAATAATTAAAATTACAATTATTTTCCTCTATCGTACTGGCGGCATTTCAAGTGTTCAATAGACTTGCAATGGCTACGATACTGGACAGGGCAGATAAAAAAATTTCCAACATGTAGGAAGGTCAATTGAAAGTGTGGCTCCAGACAATGCCAAGTTCTAAGGAATACCTAGGAGTGTGAGTTGCTGAAGACAATGGAGACAAGAGCCACTGAGGAGGAATCAGGAAGGCAGGATATTGGACAAGTTTTTCATAGAGATGTTCAATTCAGCCTGTGGCAGGAGTTGCAATGGAGAAGATATGAGCTAGCTGCTAGACACTGACATCCTCAGTGAATATAGAGTGTGTGACCAGTTTAGATGAACACATAAACCTTGTTGGGAGTTGTAATGTGCTTCCTGTGTATACTAAACCCTCCAGGCCTATCATAGTGTCCTTCACTTCTGAAGCATGTTTGACTGACTCATTCCAGACCCTACCCCAGAGTGATATTCCAGATCCCACTTAAACCTCTTCAGAACCACTCTCTTGGTTAAAAAAAAAACACCTCTTCTGAAACTATCAAATTGCTTCAGCCAACTCAATACTGTGGGATGGAAAAGAAGCCTGCTGAGTTAACTCTATGTGGTCAGGTTAACTAAATAGCTAAAAATAATGCATCTAGGGGCATAGCTATAGCTTCATAAGGAAAATGTAACAGAGATTATCTGTACCAGAATATATGAAAAAAGAAATATTTTTATTAAAGAGCATAGGTAGTTTGTGTATTCTGTTGAATTTATTAAACACACTTGTTATAATTTAAGACTTACACATAATTTTTTTATGATTAAGTCAAGACGGATGTCTATCAATGTGGAAATGTGGTATAGCTTGTTATGTTGGCTATTCATGGCTAAAAATATCACACATCACCCAAAACAATTTCCAGTAGCATCATGCTACTTGCCACTACCACATCCCCAACTTTCCTTTTCTTAAGAGTTGCCAGCTCTGAGCTACAAACAGACAGTAATCCTTCCCACTAACAAATCATGAGTGAGCACAAATTCTTCGGTCCTCTCAATTCTTCTACCCCTCAAGCCAGTGTACTGCTGTGAAATAAGAAGGGGAGAAAGGTTTACCATTTTGGAAAGTTGTTAACATCTTGTTTAGGTGAGTAAATAAGGAATCTCTCTATAACTTAATTATAAACTGTAATAAGCCCAGTCCCTCTTTTCTCCTGTCACCAATGCTAATCCCTCTTAAATTTATTCATTCTTGTTAATATGTGTACTTTTACTCCTACTTATTTTTAAGAACTAGGGAATAGCTGTGTGCTATAGTCCTGTTTCTTATTTTTCAATAGGCTATACATTTTTAGTCTTTGTTGAATCTGCTAGGTTGAATGGTTATTTGTGAATAATGGGCTCTTCCACAGCAATATACAGCAGAAAATTCCTTTTGACAAGCCATAGCAAGCTTAATTGAGTCATGACGTATTCCATCAAATAGCTTCCAGTGAGGAAAATAGTCCTTTTCCTAAGGTAGCATATGCTTTCGCACAATTTCAACATGACTGTATGGTCTCACATGATTGAGGAAATTACTTCATTTATGAAAAGTTACAGAAAGGTATGGAATTAATATTTGATTGAGCTAATTAAATTTTAAGGAGGTATATACTCTAGTCTCAGAGGAAAGGTAGGGGGAGGAGGGAGGGTGACGAGGTGTGAGTGGGTAGGTGGGGGGAAATCAGCCAGTGAACTTATATGCATAAAGCATGGACACAGACAATGGGATGGTGAAGATCTGGTGCGGGGGGCGGAGGTGGGCTAGAACGGGTACATGGAGGAAACAGAAGGCATATGGTAATACTTTCAACAATAAAGGTTTTAAAAAATAAATAAATAAAGAAGTATACACTCTAGGCTTTCTTCCTCCCTAGATTTAATGAAACCTATTTCTTAAAAACCTTACTACTGAATTACAGGTCAATTTTACATTTTTTTTTTTACTCTATTGTTTAAGTATTTCCTAGTGAGAATCCCAAATTAATTCTTTTTTTTATTTTAAATGTCATACAATAATATGAATAGAAACTATTCTATCAAGATAGTATTACTTTTTTTAATTTATTGAAGTAACATTCTCTGTAAAAAAATCAATAAAATATATTTTAGAAAAAAAAATAATTTATTGAAGTAACTGGTTAATAACATATAAATTTCAGGTATAAAAATGTAAATTGATACAGCCACTATGGAAAACAGTATGAAAGTTCCTTTAAAAATTAAAAATATAACTACCATATGATCTAGCAATTCCTCTACTAGGTAGAAAAATATGAAAACATCCACTTGTAAAAACAGTATTTCTGATTCACACCCAATGACTTTGCAGCCTGAAGCCACTTCAAATTACAGTATTTCTGATTCACACCCAATGACTTTGCAGCCTAAAGCCACTTCAAATTATGATATTACTTTTAATGTTTTCAGGACAGATGTTGTTAGGGCTTTTGGAACAAAAAGTAGATTATCAGCAGATATTAGTTAACTTATGAACTTTCATCTGAATACCCTTCAGATACCCATGGGACCTGGGTGATATTATAGCTCAATGTCAGCCTGAAGAGTTCCATCAGTCATGGGCACCATCCTTTCTTCCCTCCACAATGCAGCAATAAGGCAAGGAAAGAGAGACTATAAACCATTTATTTGAACCATATAAATGGGTTGAAAGTAAAATGTGCTGTTATACTTGTCCCCAAAGTCAAATTTACCTAGCACATAATACAAGTAGCCCATTCAATTGCATCAAAGGACTTCCAGGTATCTAATAAAAGTGTTGCTAGTGGTTCCAATTTTTTCTTTGTATTCCAGATGAGTTACATTAGCCTATGCAGATTATCTGATGCTTATCTCCCAAGATACAGCCTAGTTGGATAAGGGCCTATTAGATGTGCAACAATTTTATTTAGTTGCATAGCCAGTGGTCTGGTCTCTATTATTTTATGCCTACTCACCCTGTATAAAAGGATATTTTTCACAATACTGCTAAGGGGATAACATGCAATCTTGAGCATAAGGCTAGATGGATATATATAATTGGATAAAAGGACTGCAGACTGCCTTGATTCCAAACCACAGATAGTATCTGATGCTTTAAAAATTCAGTACACACCATTTAAATGCATTACATTTATTCATAGTCTATTTCTGAAACTAGTGGCTGTTCAGTGTGCTGATGGCAGAGAGAAGTTAATGTGTTGGTAAGCAACCTAAATTTTTATAAAGCTATTTTGAAAGTAACTCAATGCCACAGAAAGTAATATCAATTACTCCTTGCTTTACAATTGACATTGCAAGGCTGCTCCAAATTTCTATTCTTCAGTTCAGCATCTGCAAAGAAAAGGAAGGCACAGAGTATGTCCTTGGGATATTTCTGGGTATGACAATCACAAGAAGTACTTCTTTAGAACACACCCTAAAATATTTGGGGTAAAAAAAACCCCAAATATTGACTAACCCTAGATGCCCTGTGGATAGGGAATTGCTTTAGAAAACTGAGCAATGGAGAATAAGGATAAAGCCAGTGGATGACCCTGAGGGTTCTTATAACCTACTAGAGGCCCTGCGCACAAAATCGTGTGGGTAGGGTCCCTAGGCCTAGCCTGCGATCAGGGCCATCTTCTGCCCGTTCGCCAGTCCCCAAGCCGAATGCTGCCTCCTCCCCGGGGGGCGGGTAGGTCGCAGGTGTGCCCCGCAGTTTCTGTCAGCGCTGCAAGCCCCAGCAGCAGTGGTAGTAGCAGAGGCAGCAGCAGCAGCAGCGCCCGCGTGAGCGGCCCAGAGCAGGCAGCGCATTCCATCAGCAGCCGGCCGGCGCACACGCATGGAGGTGAAGTCGCCAGTGCCCGATTGGCCTGAGCCCCCGAGCAGCTGGGGATGAGCTGGGGATTCCAACTGCCTGACAGCCAGTCTGGTCCTCCCACCACCCACCCCGGTTCCCCCGTTCACCATCACTGATCCATTGGAGCCTGCAGGCAGGAAGGGGGGGTGGTCAGCTGTTCCGCCCTCTAGCCAGTCCCCAGTCCCACCCCGCTGCCACCCACCCACTTCCCCATGGTTCCTTGTTTGCCTGCAGGCAGAGGTGGAGGATGGAGGAGGTGGGGGAGGAGAGGGACTGAGAGGTGGTCAATGCACCTCATGGCGACTGGTCGAGCGGTCGTTCCGGTCGTTCCGCTTATGGTCCCTGGCCTTTTATTATATAGGATATCCTGAGAGACAGCATAGTGCAGAGAGGGACAAGGGCCTGGCCTTTGGAGCTAGTTTTAATCTTGGACCCAAGAATAGTACTGAGCTTGGTTTTCTCATCTACAAAAGGTAGTTACAATACTCACTCTGAAACTGTTTAAAAGATCAAAAAAGCTATCTATCTTTTTTTTAAGTTATATGTATATATAACTTAATCAAATATTTAATGGTCAATAGATAAATGTCAGCTGTTTCATTATAATGATTGTTAATAATAAAGTGAGATATTTATATACACATATATAGTTGCATTTTTAAAGTAATCATAGGAAGGTCTAATCCAATGGCACACTGAGTACTCAGAATAGGCTTCATGGCATTGTGTTGGGGAAATAATGACATTCAATGAAGTGCACTGTGAAAATTTACTTTGTGATTAACCTACTCAGAATGAATACACTTCTTAAACCTACAGTATCTAAAGGCAGGATTTCATATTGAAAAAAATTAATGAGCACACACATACAAACAAATATCTTTTTCCATTATCGTTAATCTTCTTTATTATCCCAGTATATCTGATTGAGTCTAAGAGATCCAGCTTTTCTTTAAATATATTGATTAGATATAAAGAAAAAAATGGTTATGCTGGCTTCAGCAGCACATATACTAAAATTGGAATGATACAGAGAAGATTAGCATGGCCCCTGTGCAAGGATGACATGCAAATTCATGAAGCATTCTGAAAAAATAAAAAGGTTAATGGAATGAAGGTATAGAATAAACATTTTTCCTCAGACTTCCCAGTTACAGTAACCCAGTTATATATGCTTGCAAAACAAAAAAAGTTAATAGGTAAATAGTCTATTTACGTGCACAGAATAGAATAAACAATTCAAAAAGCTTCAACTTCAGCAGAATTTTATATTTATACTAGAGGCCCAGTGCATGAAATTCGTGCATGAGTAGGGTCCCTAGCAGCTTCTGGCAGCTGGCCGGGACCTCCCTTCTCCTGCCCCTAGCTGCCTGCTACTGCTACCAGCCAGGGCCTTCCCACAATTGGCTGGCCAGCCCTGCCCCCTGGTTGAACTCTGGGTTCAACTCCGGTCTAACTCTTGGTCAGGGGGACAATTTGCATATTAGGCTTTTATTATATAGGATAGTCAGAGTTGGTTTTTTTTTTAATGCTTATTTCCAAAATGGAATTTGCATATTAGGCTTTTATTATACAGGATAGTCAGAGGTTTTTTTTTTAATGCTTATTTCCAAAATGATATAATCTTTTGAAGTGTGCACACTTTTTCTTAACAGTTGAAAAAATATGTTTGGACTCTAAGTGAAGCAATTTCTAGAGAAAACACATGATCCACCCTGAAACTAAAACTCTAAGTACATATACAGAAATGTGTACAACATTCCCAAGATATATGTAAACAGGAAGAGCCACTTAGTAAATGTATTGGGTTTTGGTAATAATATAATCCACTCTCATTAGGCATCTCCCTCTTGTGCATTAACATGTGACATCATACTCTCACATAACATTTCATAACACAGTGAAATAAAAAGCCCCTCCAGATTGCAACTGTAAGATAATCAGATTCTGTGGTGCTCATTATAACTGCAATTATGTAACAAAACTCTCCAAATATAGTTCCAGTTATTGCAGTTATTAATCATTCTGGTTTTGTTTCAAGCACTTGCTTTATAGTCTGCCGGATAGACTCCATTATTCTACTAGCTGAATGTCGAAAGTCAAACATGTGCATGTGAATCTGCTCTTCTAATGGCCTTTCAACATAATTCCCCCTTTCAATTTGTATTTGTGAATACAAAAAACATGCAGAAATAAAGCTGATGTCAGTAGAGTCACTGACCTTTGCAGTAAACAGAAGACAGTCCTTAACAAAAAACAACTTAGCAAGTAGGAAACATATTTTGCTAGAACTAGAAATACAGCTGCTTAAGAAGTTAGTCTCAGAATACCAATCAGTTCTTAAGAAAAAGGGGGAGGAAAACTCTCAAAGAATCTGTATATTTGATAAGGAGACAAATCCTAAGAGTGCCAACAAATGTGCATTTTTAAAGGTTCAAAGTACCAACCTCATGGATAGGATGTACTTCCAAACATCCTATGCACAAAACCATGTAGATTAATTTAACTATAAAATGCCAAGTAAAAGACAGCAATTTTATTATATAGAACAAACACCATCTGCACCACCTTAAATCACTGCTGTAGATGTATTTCTAGGAAAAATATACACCTGTAAAATTCTCAAGCCTAAACTCTGAGATGCTAGAGTATTAACTAGCATCCAAAACTAGCATCCTGGATTCCAAAACAGATCCAGGGAAACCGACTCCATAATTATTTAAATGCTCACATGTAGAAAGCCCAGGAAAATAAATACAATAGCACACGGACATAGTTTCCAAAGTGCACATCACCAAGTTCACACAGTCCATGATTTCTTCAGTTTGGCTACGTACATCGGGCCCCACGCTTTGCCCTTTTCTGGAATCACCAAAAGTCCACACTCCTGGCCAGTGGGCGCAAATGCGAAGTCTTGGGAGCAAGTCCTTGCCATTTCCTCTATGTTCACAGGCATGACATTACTGCAGGAATTTAAAATTTCACTGATCACATCCTGATTTTCTGCTTTGGAAAGTGTGCATGTAGAGTACACAAGTAACCCTCCGGGACGCAACGCCTTAACTGCAGACCTGCATGTAATCAGGAAAACACATTAGATTGGTCAGGTACATTAAAAACAGGCTACGGCGTTTGAGGGCAAGGAAACTTACATACTTGAAACTTTTTTGCAATCCTGACTCAGACTGCAATAACTCTGGATGTTTTCTAGCCTCACAACTATTTCTCTCTAACTAGGTGACTAGGAAAATGGTAATCAAATCAATCAACATGGGAAAGACAGAGTGTATTTAATTTGTTCGCTGTTGATCTTTTAAGGATAAGAGGATGGAGTAGAACATGATGAAAAAAATAGGTTTATCTTTGACTATATTGAGTGGTACGTACGGGTAGGTGGAACAGAGCAGCTGACCTTCAGGAAAGAGATCAGGGCTCAGTGATAGATGAAGTCATGGGAATAAGTAAGATTTCCCAGGAAAAGAGCAAGAAAAGAGAAAAAGTGGACTAAAGACAGACCCTGAGAGAATGCCTATTTAAAGGGAGGCAGAAATTAAAAAAGAAATTAAGCCTTCACTAGATGAAAGAGTAGCTTCAGGGAAAAGATAGGAAGAAAGATTTATCTGTCTGTCTGTCTGTCTGTTTGTTTGAAAGAGAAGACTTACAAATATTTGTAAATGCAGATCCAAGAGAAGAGCAGTCCCAAGTTTCAGACTACAAATGGAGAAGTTAGTTTTTGAAAAGATGGGGTTCAGCTCTTCATGAAAAACAGGATGGGAGCATGGATAGGAAACCAGGATGTTTTAAGGTAACAAAAGTTCATGATAGGCCTGGCTGGTGTGGCTTAGTGGTTGAACTTCAACCCATGCACCAGGAGGCTGCCAGTTCGGTTCCCTGTTGGGGCACATGCCCAGGTTGCGGGCTCCATCCCTGGAGGCAGCCCATCGATGTTGATGTTTCTATCTCTCTCAAATAAAAACAAACAAACAAACAAAAAAAACCATTTTTTTTTCTTAAAGAAAGTTCATGATAGCCTCAATAAGAAGAGTAGAGTGAGAGGCAAGGTGATCTACTGAGACATAAAACTAAAAAAGTTTTCATCTTGATGCTGTAGTGATAACCCCAGAGCAATTACTAATCAGTAACTTAAAAAAAAATCATGTTCCACAACCTCTACTGGATTTGAGTCCAGTCAGCTCCATGTCTCACATCTATATTTAAACAATTAAAGCGCATCCCCAATAATTGAGATTTAACAATAAAGATCTACATGGCAGAAGGACATTTGCAGATGTGATAAAATTAAGGCTCTTGAGATAGAAAGATTCTGGATTATCTGAGTGGGCCTAACGTATTCACAAAAATATTTACAAATGGAAAAGAGAAGTAAGAAAGTCAGAGAAAGAAAGACGATAACTGGTGCTAAGGATGGAATGGCAGGATTGCTGGCGAAAGGCCAGGAGCCAAGGAGTGCAGGCTGTTGCTAGAAGTTGGAAAAGGTAAGGAAATGATTATCAACTGACTTTACCTGTGTGGTCAGTTCAGGCTGCTAAAACAAAGACACCATAGACTAGGTGGTTTAAACAATAAACATCTACTCCTCACAGTTCTGGAGGTTGGAAAGTCCAAGATCAAGGTCCTGGTAGGTTTGACATCTGGTGGAGACCTGTCCTCACATGGTGAAGGGGAGAGGGAGCTCTCTGGTCTCTTTTATAAGGGCACTAATCCCACTCATGAGGGCTCCACCTTCATAACCTGATCACCTCCCAAAGTCCCCATTAACTAATACCATCACCTTTGGGATCAGAGTTTCACATATAAATCTGGGGAGGACACAAACATTCTGTCTATTGCACTCCCCTACAACTTCCAGAAGGAACACAGCTCTGCCACACCTTGATTTTAAAGTTTTGACCTCTAGAAGTATAAGATAATACATATGTGTTATTTTAAGGCATTAAAACTGTGGTAATTTGTTATAGCAGCAATAAGAAACAAATACACACTCGGTGATGTGGTGTTTTTTTTTTAATAATGATATACTAAGGCATCATTATATTTTGCTACAATTGTATAAGTTACAGCTACACTCAGTTTGGATCACTTTCAACTGACTACAGCAATGGACAAAAGACTTTCTTTTAAAAAGTTAGAGTATTGTGCAAGGGATATAGGCAGATATGAATACAGATATCTGAAACTTACAGTAAAAAGACTTTTTTTATCCTAGTTTCACAATTAGCAAAGCCAGTCCTTAATCAAGTAAGTATAATTCTTTCTCATTACAGTTGTACAAAAGTATACAGAAGCCTCATCATTCACAAACAATAAGTTTCTGGCTTGATGCAAATTTAAATTAATTTCTATAATGTTGCCAATGTTGGCTAATTCTTCTGCTTTGTTTTCATTCCAACATTCATAATTTATCTTTCTAAAATTAGGTTGGTATAACTTAACTGATCTCATTAATTTCTAAACAAGGAAAGGCTTTTTTACAAATTGGGTTAATCTCAACACCCTAGGGCAGGGGTGGGAAACCTTTTTGTGAGTTCGTGCCAAAACCAGCAAAATCTCTGACTCAAAATTCTTCTGCGTGCCAACCCTAATTTTTTGAGAACATGTTACGCCTACTTGATATCTCTTAAGGTGTACATATGTGAAGAACCTTGAAGAAATAATAAAATTCATTCAAGCGACAAAAACACAGTATATGATGATGAAAAATACATTTATTTTTTAATGTATACATGTACACTGATAGTCCGACAGAAAACTTTATGACTCCGTTTGATATTATCAGTGGGACTTTTGCTGCTGCATCACTGATGACAGAGATTTTACATCAGGTTTATATTTCGTGACCTTCAGAGATATGCACGAGCTACTACTTTCATCCGTCAGGCTACTCCTATTACGAGACTTAACAAAATTCATCACTGAGAACAAAGATTCACAAGCGTATGTAGATGAAACCAAAACACTGGTCAAATCTAGGAAGGCAGGGAGAGTTAAGGCAGAGGCATAGAAATTGCTCTTCCCCTCTCTCGTCAATCCATGTCTATGGTCTTTAAGATAACTTGTTATGTAAAATTATTTATTTATCTAAGATGCACCTACACTGAATTTATCTGAAACATAAAAAAGTCGATATTAAGAAAAAAATTGTAAATGGAAGATTATAAGAGAGGGTTTCGCGTGCCAGCAAAAGTTACTGGCGTGCCATGTTTGGCACGCGTGCCAGGAGTTGCCCACCCCTGCCCTAGGGCAAATGTTAGAAATCCTTGTCAAATGGTTGTTGCTGTTTTGCTGTTCATGACTGTTCTTTAAATACCATTTCTATCCTTTTGCTGGTAGTAATTATACATTTTAAAAATACCATAATTTGTATTCAAAGATCAAGGAAAATAGGCAATGTGGGGGGAAAAAATCACTTCCAGGATTCATATAACCAAGACTTTTCTATACTAAGAAATATGTTATGCCATAGAAGGCATTTTTCTCATGAATTGAACCAGCTCATACTGAGGTCACACTGGTTATGCAGAAAGTGTAAATCTATCTCTACATTAGCATTTATAAATACACATAAGAGTTCCTTTACTTTTGATACATAAATGACACTAAGTACTCAATTTTAATTAAGGCCAGAGTATTAACCACTCTACAATCAAATGATTTAAAACCAATACTTTTGGTATTTCAATAAAAATCAAATGATAGAAAAACCAGCCACTGCTGATGTCAAGACCAGCTGCACTGAAATGCTAATCCATCAATGGAGACCACAACCCTGAAAGGACACACATGAAAAACTGCTGAATATTCTATTGAGATCTTCCCTAGGACCTCCCCTAGAATCTCCACCCTTGAACCCTTAGGAAGGAGGACCCAGTGCGCTCTAACTCCTGGGAGCATGCCCCTGTCTTTTCCTACCCTTTCTCTCCCCCACCCCAAAGGCCTCTTACCATTAGCTTCCTCACTTCCAAGCTCCAAGGGCCCTTCCTTTACCTCCATAATGTGTTTCCTAAGCCCATTTCTTCTAGGAATTGCTTTTTCTACTTCTTTAATTTATCCAATAAATGTTCTCTTACAAAAAAAAGAGAGATAAATGTAGTATGTGCTTTACAATATATTAAATGAAAATTAACACATGCCTAAAATATAAGTACCTAAATATATAGTATTTTGCCCACTACAGTAGTGCCTAGGATAAATCATCTGCTCCCATAACAATTCACACATGTTTTGAAACAGTCAATCAGATTTTAGTAACTGTTATTATAGGTTTCATCCAAATCATAAAAAGAAGACTGTATATGTTTTTGCAAGACAGGCAGTAGGGTGTGAGAAAGATTGTGTTGCTCTGGAGAGAAATGATAAAAATGGAAGAAAGATACTACTTAGTAGTTCTTAACAAGCCCAGTAAGAAATTAAAAATTCTGGAAGGTGAAAAAAACATTTAGAAGTTAGAGAGACTGGAGTAGCACTAATACACTGGCAAAGTTGTGGTAATGACCATATAAAAAGGTAAGTCTGGATCACAGAAGAAAAATAAGACATGTTGGATCTGGGTTCTGATAGCAAAGAAGGCAAAGAGTTCTCAATGCTTGTGTCAATTTCTGTGCCATGCAAAGTTATTCTTATGTTTGTTTGTTTTTAAATAAGAGGAAGAAAAACCAAACAACTAAGCAACATCCATTTTGGCATAATGCTATCTTCTGCTCATCTCCAAATGAGCCGTGCCCCCTGATTTCTTAATGACTGTAAGTTTTATGGCTTAAGAAGAATCTGAGTAATGGATTATTTTTTCACCTGTGCTACACCACTAACTATATTGCATGAAATTACTAAATAACAAGTTGTATTATGATTGGAATTATTTACCACTGAATTATGAGTGATGGTTAGCAGAGCTTTGTAATCATACAAAAGATGTCATGACTAACTACAGTAGATGAACCAAAAGTATTATTCTGATCAGATTAGGGAGAAGGCAAATCTAATACTTTAAACAGAAATGGGAACTAGTAGACATCATCTTAGGTTTTAAAATATTATGTATAATTCACTACAC